CTTTCTTTCTTTCTTTCTTTTTCTTCTTTCTTTCTTTCTTTCCTTTTCTTCTTTCTTTCTTTCTTTTTCTTCTTTCTTTCTTTTTTATTGTTGTTGTTGCTTTTGTTTTTTTCTTTTCCTTTAACAGATGTTCTGAGAGCCAGGAATCATCATCTCTGTGAGGCAGAAGTCACTTGTTTCTTCTCCCTCTTTCTTCCTTTCTTTCTTCCTTTCTTCCTTCCTTACTTCTTCTCTTCTCTTCTCTTCTCTTCTCTTCTCTTCTCTTCTCTTCTCTTTTCTTTTTTCCAAAACAAGGTCTTACTATGTAGCTCTGATTGTCCTGGAACTCACTATGTAGACCAGGCTGGCCTTGAACTCACAGAGATCCTCCTGAGAGGTCACTTGCTTGTTGTTTCTATTGCTCCTTGGCTCTAAGAAGTGACTTGGCCTTCTCAGACCTCTTTGATGGCTTTGTTCACCATCCAGACTCCTCTACCTGAGACTTGCTAGAGCATTTCACAGGGTTTTAGCTCAAAGATGAAGTGTGGTACCTCATAGATGTGATAACTTTGCTGGAGCATCTTTTTAAAGGGAGGGTGATTCATACCTTTGGTTGGTGTTTCTATAGAATACTTATACTGGGAGAGAAACCATGGGTAATAAATGAATAATTTGGAGCTGACAACTGCTCATCATCCTGCCTTTTATAAATACTCATGTCTTTTAATTTTTCTTATAAGATAGATACATAAGCCACTGCAACCTTTCAGACTCTCTTTATAAGCACTATCCACTAAAATTGGGAAGAAAGTGGAGTGCCACATGTATAAAATACCCAATTAAAGTCTTTTATTCACCTCCAACATAACTTCATTTTAAAGATTTTTATATGTGTGTGGGGTAGGGAGGATTGAAAGAAAATTGTTTGAGATTTGAGTATAGTACATACAGTAATTTAGCCATTTCAAACAGTTGAACAGACTGTACACCTGTGGTTGGAGTGACAGTAATGACAGTGATTTAATTTTCATCGCAAATTGCTCTTGTTCTGACAGCTCTTCCACACAGTTTCCTTCATCCGGGTTTCCCATCCAGGCAGTGCAAGGCCAGGGTACTCTGACTGTGGAAGACAGAGAACCATGGTGTGGATCCTCTTACCTTCTACCCCAGCTGTCCTGGGAGGCTAGAGGTTGAAAGTGAACTTGTCTTGCTTTCCCTGAGCTCTGTGGTTGCACCAAGAAGACTGGATTCTCTCAGACTTGAATAAGCCTGGGAAAGTCCTATGTGTGTTTTTGGAGCAGAGCCCTATGTGGGTCGGCTCTGGTGGCTTTTTCTCTGAGTCCCTTGGAAAGTGTCATTGTTTCTGTTCCAACAGATTAGATCCCTGGTTCTGTAAGGATGGGCGTCCATGGCACACGGTATAGGTCTCAGGGAGATGTCTCTAGCCTTGGATTAATCATGTCTTTGCTGTTCTCTTTAGGCAAGACAGGCCACAATAAAGCAGCTCTTCCGTCCCATCGAGGAGCTGAAGAAGGAATTTGATGAGCTGAATGTTGTTCTTGAGACTGACATGCAGATTATGGTTCGGCTGATAAACAAGTTCAACAGCTCCAGCTCCAGCCTAGAGGAGAAGGTTGCTGCACTCTTTGATCTTGAGTACTATGTCCATCAGGTATTGTATTGCCTTGCCTGTAAATCCAACTTTTTAATCAGTAGCTCCAAACATAAACCCCTGCTCTAAACCCTGAGAAAACAACGTCAATGGTTTTACTTTTTTTCCGTGGCACAGACATTTAATGTAGGCCAGTGTCTATGGCAGCTAGATCTGTTCATAGAGAACAGAACAACCTACTTTTTTGCTTGAACCTGTTTTGTTTTAACATTAAGACAAAATTACCATAATCTTGTATCACTTACAGTCTGGAAGGGGAAGCAAATATGAACAATTGAGCAAATTAACAAACAGTGAACTAATTTAAAACCATAATAGGGGCTTCAAAGGGTGATGTCGGTGATGTATCACAGGGCAATTTAGGATGAGCTGACTAGTTAGAGTTCATAAAAGATGCTTCTCATGGGATGCACTCTTAGGCTGAGTGTTCAGGAAGGAATAGGAGTTGGTTAGATGAAGAAGAGAAACTCTTAAGGAGGTGATGGCAGCATTGCCCATGGACAATATCTGGTGTAATGTCTATATTAGTAAATAAGGTTGTATTGTGATAGTTACACCCATTTTTTATGCATTTATGATTGTTTTCATGCTATAGTGGTACAGTTGAATAGTTATAACAGAACATGTTTACAAAGCCAGAAGGATTTACTGCTTAAATTTCCCTCCCACTATCCTCCAGTCCACTTCATATCACCTGTGTTCTAATCACCTTCCCCACAGCAACCAGGGAGCATTGTGGAAGAGAGGACAAAAATACCATAAGAGCCAGAAGACAGAGAATGCAAGAGTGACAGTGTCCTCTTAACATAACATGATTCTGTTCTTATTCATGGGCCCACAGGAGCTGTGGTTACAAGGCAGGCCTGAAATCAAGCCAGTCAACAGTCAGGTGTGGAGGGAGAGGGGCTCACAAGCCCCACCCCCTGCTGAGAAGCTACTGAGAGTTGATGGTTGCCGAGGAAGGGAGAGGAAGTTGTCTTTATAGGTGTGCTCCCTGGTGGGTTGACCATGCCACTGTAGATGAGCCCACACCCGTGCAGACATGGGCAGGACAAATTAGACTCTGTAGGTTATTTCTATTAAGGACATGGAATAGGAGGGGTTAGAGGTAAATTTCAGAGTAGTTAGGGGAAAAAGAAGGGATTAGTATGATAAGAGTATGTTATATATGTGTGAAATTCTCAAAAATAAATAAAGTTGTTTTATTTATTTACATGGTGGCACATGCCTTTAATCCCAGTACTTGGAAGGCAAGAAGATCTCTGTAAATTCGAGGCCAGACTGGTCTACATAAGTGAGCTCCTGATCAACCAGGGATGCAGAGAGACCCTGTCTCAAAAACAAAAAACAAAGGAAAAAGAAAAGAAAGAAACTTGTAGAAAGCTTACGTATTGTTAGGAACTTTAGAAAAGTTTACCAGTCCTTGTATTAGAACCTTCCATGAGGAGTAAGCTACGTGCACACAGAGTCTAGAGCAGAGGTGAGTTTGTAAGGTGGAAGGCCGGGACAAGATTGGAGTGACTGGAGCACAGACAAGGAGAGAGGGGAGCCAGCTGGAGATCTCCTTTTACTCTTTGTGTTTGTCCCCTTAGTCCTGAGTTTGAAGTAACCACTCAAACATCTAATACTGATGTTGAGTACTCTAGGCTTCTACTGCTTCAAATGCTTTGTGTATATTAATTCCGTAGGGGCCTTGAGTAGGTACCAGTATTAGTCTCATGTTTTTCTTTTTGTTTATTTTGTTTGTTTGTTTTTGAGTTAAGAGTCTCACTATGTTATCCAGGGTGGTCTCACATTCCTGGGCTCCAGTGGGTCAGAGAGGGAATTGCAAGCTCCCACTTTTTAATTGAGGACAGTGGAGTTCAAGGAGATGGTGTGATCGTCAGGGACCAACCAGCCGATGAATGAGAGCTAGGATTTGTAAAAAATTCTGTCTAATTCTAAATTCTAAGCTTTTAGACTTTTGACCAGTGTACTTCTCATAGAACCCTGATACCTTTTGCATGAAGGTCAAAAGATAGAGGTAAAGAAGAACTAAGGCAAAGTGTTTACTTATTCAACCATTTCTTCAGCCAGTGATCCTATGGAGAGTCTGCTGAGTCCCAGGCACTATTAAAGCAATTGAGGTGCATTTATGAACAAAATTGGACCTTATTTTCCAGCAGAAGCAGAGGCAGATTTAGCAAATAATTGTTTGAAAGGTAATGAAATTATGAGAAAGGACAAAGAAGAGCATTATAGAAAGTGGTGGGCAGGAGGCGGGATCGTGCCTAGACTCTGACTGGATCTGAGAGAAAAGGAAGAGACCATGGAACCTCTTAGGCGATGGGAAAGAGTGGGACTGGAGCCCTACACAGTGACAGAGGTGATGTGAAAACAGCCCTCCAACTGTTACATTGAGAATCTCACCACTGTGGGGAGCTAGGGTGGGAACAGAGCCCAGACAGGAAGCTGTTGGAATGGTGGCTCAAGGGGCTGTAAGTCATAACCAAGTGCGGGTTTGAGATATTTACCCAGCGGACTAGAGCCCCAGTGTCCCCACCCCCACCCCATGACAGTGTCCTTGTTCTCTGTTAACAAGCCTATATTTCTTCATTTGGGGTTTTGTGGTAAATGCATCTGTGCTGTATGCAGGGGCTCACAGGGTAGCTCTTCACCCTCTTCCTCTGTTCAGAACTCCTCCTCAGACCCCAAATAGCAAGACTGTGACCCTCTTATGAGGTGAAAAAAAAATGAGCATGAGTTTTCTTTACCCTTCCTCGTCCTTTTTGGGTTGAAAAGATCCCTCTAGCTTTTCCATCAGAGATAATTAAGGATCAAGGCGTCTAGGGGTTATTGAGTAGCTCAGTCTTGTTCTGGTGTTGACAGCTTTTATTATGTTTTTCATTTTTAATGTACTTGGGTGGGTCTTTAGTTCTCAGCTTTCCGAAGGGTCTTGCTTCAGTTCAAACGAAAGGCTAAAATCACTAACTTATCATGCTTATACGGGAGTGAGTTACACTAAGGCTAAGCTACCAATGACCCAACAACAGCAAAATCCCCCACAGCCCCATCTGCCAGTGTCGTCCTCAGGGGGGCATCCCATTCCACTTTTACAGGTCCTTGGGTATCACCAGACGCAGCCAAAGGTCACCATAGAACTGTTCCATTGGTCAAGGGCAAACCCCCTCCGATGGTAAAAGTGCCCTCCTCAGTGTTCTGGACCATTGACTTGGGCTAGTGTACTAATGTGCCCTGGTAAGTTGTGATTTCTCAGGAAGATTCTAGAATACATAGCTCATCCTGCTTTCCAGTTGTGATGGAGAATTAGGTGATGTAATGCTAACTTTGAGGCAAATAGAACTTTTCCAGCCAGGACCTTCAGTTGATTCTCACTCTTAAATTCACTGAATAGGGGCCTGAAGAGCCAGGGGCTTCAAGGACCTGAACTGGGTCTGCCAAAGGATCCCTTACAGCCATATTTTAATTATTAAAACAGGATATGTGAAAAGCAAAAACTTGTGTGTAGAAAACAGTTAGTGAGTTATTTATGAGGAAGGCCCTGGGCAGAGAATCTGCCTCTCCTCAGGTGACTCCGCCATTATTTCCCCATCTTTCCTTCTCAGATTCCCATTCTTTCATCATCTGGGAGTGCTCTGAATTTTCCCAGTACTAGCCTAGTTGCCTCCATCCCTGTCTGATGCCTCCTCTTCCTACACACCTATCCACGGCTCTTGCCCCATCCTGAAGGCAGCCTAAGAAAAGTTCTGGCTCTAAACTTGCCATCTTCTGTGTGGCTCTGGAGAGAAGCCAGCTTTTGGTATGCGAGTGGGCCAAAATGAACCTTCTCTTTCTCATTACCAGTCAAATCATGATAGAACACCTTTAAAGTGTTTACAGAAATACCAACAATTCATATCTCATGGAATTGTTGTCATGTAGATATGCAGAATCTAGAACAGACCCGGGCTCTGTTGTTGCTTTGAGGTCAACAGAAAAGCAAGCTGCTCTGCCAGGTTTTGGGTAAGACTCTCCCAGATGTGGGTTGATGGAATTTTGAGAAATAAGTTTGTATCTTGGAAACCTGGAACAAAGAAGATATGAATTGGTAAGTTTTTAAAGGCACATTTCTTCCTTATAATATGTACGAGGAAGAAATTTGTTTCAACAAAGTGCCCCATTCTAAGTCTCTCTTATTATCTGGGCTTTGGGTCTGTAGTCATCCTTGTTTACGGACAGGCTGGGACAGAAAAATCCTTGCTATGACCTTGGACATCCATGGCAGCTAGACTTTATACTGGATGGTACTTTCTCAGGGACCATGTGTTGGTACTGACACTATAGATTGTTTTTTTGTTTTTTGTTTTTTTTTTTTAATTCACAGTGGGGTTTTATTTTGGGAATAGTTTAAATTTTTATTCCTCAATTCAAGGGTTAATCATTGAACACCTAACTCTATGCTCTTCGTTCTTCTGGTCACTGGAGCAGTGGATGAGAAAACCTGCTTTTGTATATGTCCTATCCAAATGTGTGACAGTGATCATCCAACTGCTAAAAATAGGCCAGGCCCACCCAAAAGCAAGGGAAGGTCAGATTCTATGCTTTGCACTTGCTTTTTTTCTCAGAACTTACTTTCTAGTTAGGAGGCAGAAGCAAGGACAAAGTCACATAGGAGCCAGCTCTGAGTTCTCGGAGAAAGGCAGGCACTGGTTATATGGCTGCTGGGCCCTTGGCTTCTGACACTTCCTGGTCTGCTGAGCAGTGCATCAAAAGGGCACGAGGTCACCTTTTGGGCAGAGTGATAGTAAGATTCTGACTTTTCATGTATATATGCAAATACAGGGTTTAGTAACTTAACTAGTAATCTCAAACTAGGATATATGATAAGACATCAATGTAATTATTTAGTATTGATTTTATTATAATGAGACCTTTTTACAATCACTTGGGTTCATTGTTTTAAGACACTCAGCTTATCAATTATATGATGATAAAAATATTCACCACTGCTGGCATTTAGCCATGATTAGTAAAACAGACCTAGACCAAAGCCTTTGGGAAACTGACTTTTATACAGATTTTAAAATTAATGTCTTCAGATTCAATCAACTGTACCAAATAAAGGATGATATTGTTACTTCTCTCATAGTACTCTCTTAGCACACCCTACCCCAACACCCCCTCCTCTACACACACACTCACAGCACACCAGGTCACGTCACACCATGCCTGTCCCATCAGCAGGGCTCCTTTTATAGTTCCTGGTTTCTAATTAAAAGTTGTTGTTTTTTTTCCTCCACTGCTTTCATTGTGTTTGGACATCCACAGGACATGTAGCACTGTTTAGTGGTGCCATGATGCCAGATTCTTTGTGTTAACAGCTTGCATGTTTGGAGTAAGCTTTGTGACTCACTGCAGCATTAGAGTTTTCTGAGACATGTTTGGCATGAGCAAGAGCTAGGTGCCATTTTCACGGATTCCCACGCAGGTGCTTATAAATGGTATTGGATGAATGAGAAGTTCTCAAATGTAAGATTCCTTTAAAACGCAGGCTGTTCTAGGCCACTGCTGCTCTTCACTTGTCTTTTACATTCTGTTTTGCTAGTCATTAAAGAACAGCTGTCAGAAGAGTGCTTCCCCCCACCCCGACCCCCGTGAAGGCTATCCTGTACTAAGCAATGCCTTTGTTGCAGATGGATAACGCACAGGACCTGCTGTCCTTTGGTGGCCTTCAAGTGGTGATTAATGGGCTCAACAGCACAGAGCCCCTGGTGAAGGAGTATGCTGCTTTTGTGCTGGGGGCTGCCTTTTCCAGGTGAGCAGCATGGATGGATTGCCATTGGCTAGAATCATTTGCCTTCATTGGCTTGAGGAGCCGTTACACTTGCCCTTCTAGCCACTCGTCAGTATAGTACTGGGGAAGCTAGAACTGAGTCAGCTTCTATTCCAAATAGAAGTTCTCAGCCATGTTTTTCTGTTCTGTGATTTCTCTTCCCTTCATCATACATACATATATACGTATATATAAATAAAATAGCAGACCTTAGGTCATATTTTCTATTTTACTAAAATGAATAAATGGACCAGCCTCATGGAGTAAATAGTGAGTAACTAGTTGATCCTTCAGACAATGAAGACACATCTAATGACTAAGTGATGAATCTAACCAAGAAAGGCCTTCTGAGGGGGATATGGCTTCCCCTGGTTGCTGGAATCAGTTATGCAGTGAGGTGTATTCTCTGGATGGAGTCTTTAGCATTTCAGTTAGTCTGTTTTATACTGAAAAACTTACCAGGCAAGATGAACAGTAGACAGCTTCTCTAAAGAATGGATGTAGAGAAATATATAGATATCAAGTAATTTTACTCATTTGAAAAGGTCAGGATATCTTTATACTATCATTATGTCCATTTAAAAATATCTGCTCATAAGACCATCTCATCTGTATTTCTAAAATAGAAACAATTACTCTGATTCTTGCTTCCAGGGTAGTGACGATTAGTGTTGCCTTGTTTACATAGTTTATTCTGAGGTTGGAGAAGGCTATTCTAAACAGCATTGTAGAGTTTGTTTGACAAGACTTAGTTTGTTTATTCATTCTTTTTTTTTTTTTTTAACCTTTTTTGAGACAGGGTTTCTCTGTGTAGCCCTGGCTGTCCTGGAACTCACTCTGTAGACCAGGCTGGCCTTGAACTCTGTTTATTCATTCTTATGTTTATTTAATTAGAACCTTAATCTGATCCTTTCTTTTCATAGCAAAATGAAGGACAGTTGTCCCAAGGAAGAGGCTGCAAGCAAGCAAGCCTTCGTTCCTTTCTCACGCCCGTCTTTATTTGTCAGGCCTCCTTGTCCTGTAGTAGTGCTGTAGACAGATCAGTCTCTGGCCTCCAGGGCAACTCTATGTCCCTTGGCCTCACTTTCCAAAGCCAAACTTTGTCAGAAAACCCAGTTCCTCCTGTACACCCACTGGACACAGCTATGGCTTCTGTCCAGGGTCTGCCCTCAGAAGGCTGCAGAGCCTTGAGAACGTACTCAGGCTCACGTTTGCTCCTTAAGCTCTAACACCTTCATCTAGACTCAGTTTTGAAATCTTTGTCTTATTCTAAACTACTTCCAGTATGAATGTGATATCCTGCATATCTCTTGCCATTACTTCTGGAAATAGATTTTGGAGAAACAGTAGCATCTTCATACCACTTTCTTGTTAAAAGGGACTCTGACTTGAGAAGTCGGCATTTAGACATTCTTACAAACCAAAACCTAGTTGCTGTGTCAGTGTGTGATATTATGATGACCTCTCCATGAGTGGACTATGTTAGTGTAAGACCGTGTTAGCATTCATATAGCATCACTAAATTTAATAGAGATAAATATAAAATACTGAAATTTAGTGTTTTGATGGCAAGCACACTACTGTAGTCAAATGTTCTAGCTGGGTTTTTGATAGCTCACTGAAGGGCTGTTACAGCGACAGCATGGTATGGCGCCAGAGCTTTTGGAAGCCGCCAGCAGGCTTCCCAACACCAGGAAAATGTCAGTGTTTTATTCAAAGAGAAGCTTGACACAAGTTAGACTATTTCTGTGCAGAAAGGCTGGCTTCGGTGCTGTTGTCTGATATGCATTACTTACTTTTGATGTCCTAAGTATTGGCTCTGCACCTCCCTAACTGCTTCAAGCATCGAATGTGTAGTCACAGTGATTAGATAAGCTAGCTCTTTGCCAAAGGGCATTCAAGAAATAGCATCCTGGAATCATGGGCTTGTGGGCAATCCTTTGAACAATCATAGGTGTCCAGTGCATTTCATAAAGGTGAAAAGCAAATAAAAACATATAATAAGCATAATAACGCGGCATCAGCATCATCATTACCTCTTCCTAATGGCCCCGTTGTTGCTATCAGTTTTCCCTACATGGAAGCTCTTGCGTCATTTCCTTCTACAGTACAGACTCTGTCATCCTGTTTAAGTTCCACTGTGTCTCTTGCTGCTAATGTTGCTGCTTCATGAGAGTGTTTATTTGCCTACCTGGGTTAACTGCTTAATAAGTCCTTCCACACACATTTCTGTGGATGAAGGGATCTCTTACCAAGTGTTAAATACCAATTATTCCAAGATAAAGGAAGAGGATGACAGAAATATAATTGACATGGCTACTGAAATAAAATTTGTTCCTTTACTTAAACATGATTAACACCCAACTGAGAGTTACACATAACTCATTTTCTGCTGTTTATTTCCTGAGTATAATAAGGTAGGTAAAGTTCTGTGCAACATATGTAGACGTTGGTATGCTGATTATTAGCAGATTTGTATTCTCATTGCTACTATCTTTTAAAAGTCCCTTTCTTCTCCAGGTTATTTTCATTGGTCTCTTTGTGAGCTGATTTCACCTCATGGGGGAACGTATGAGGGTCTGTCTGAAGTTGGAACTCCTGGGAGTCTTAGACAAGTCCTTTTTGCTTCTGTATAAAGAAGTTTAGAAAGCCTTGTGAATTTCAGAAGCCATAACAGCCTTCTGTTATCTGGTTTTGCTGCTTCTTTGAAAACTGGCCAGCTGTTTTTCTTTCTTCTTTCTTCCTTGTACAAAGCCTTTACATTGAACTGACAAGAGTTAAACTATCAAGAACCTGGTGTGCTTGCTCCAGTGAGCACTGGCTTTGCTGTTTTTGCATTCCCTTCTCTTGTACCTTCGTTGTTTTGTATCTGTATAAATGACCTGTATTTATATTTACATGGATATGTTTTTTTATACATTTATACACAGAAGTGTAATGCTTTTATTTGAACTGTTTGCAGTATGTATGTGATGAAACGTAATCTAGTACATAGTACGTGTATCATCAGCCACAGAGATGGTATGTTTTATAACTGCTTTTCTTGGCATCTACCTCACAAGTTCCTCGACATATTTGGGGTTGTATACATTTCTTGAGAGAATGAATGTATGCCATAGTGCTGCACATGTCCACCCTGTGTTCTGTTGCCTGTGGTTTTCTTGCCTGTGCTCTTCCCAAGGTTTTACCAATCAAATTTTTAAAACTTTTTAGATTATTTTATGTATATGAATATTTTGCCTGCATATATATATATACATATATATATACATATATATATACATATATATACATATATAT